GAGAGACAGCAATCAGAAATCCAGAAGATTAACAATAAAATTTCAGAATTAGACAACTCAATAGAAAGTCATAGGAGCAGAATTGAGGCAGTAGAAGTTAGAATTAGTGACACTGAAGATAAAGCTCTTGATGCCAACTTATCTGAAGAAAAATCAGATAAGAGAATTAAAAAGAGTGAAGAAACTCTAAGAGTCATGTAGGACTCTATCTAAAGAGAAATAACCTACGAGTGACTGGAGTACCAGAACAGGGGGGATAACAAAAAATACAGAGAAAATTGTTGAAGATTTGTTGACAGAAAACCTCCCTGATATCATGAAAGATGAGAACATATTGTTCCAAGATGCTCATCGAACCCCACATAAGGTAGATCCCAAAAGAAAGTCACCAAAACATATTATAATCAAACTTAACAAAACCAAAGATAAAGAGAGAATTTTAAAAGCAGCTAGGGATAAATGAAAAGTCATCTACAAAGGAGAGTCAATTAGAATAAGCTCGGATCATGCAGGCTAGAAGCAATGGGATGATATATACAAAGCCTTGAAGGAAAATAACTGCCAGCCAAGAATTATATATCCAGCAAAACTATCTCTCAAATATGATGGCGAAATTAGGGCATTTCCAGATAAACAGAAGTTCAGGGAATTTCCAAAAACCAAACCAAAACTACAAGAAATACTAAAGGGAGTCCTATGGTTAGATAATCAATAACACCAGATAACAACACAAGACTAGAACACAGGACAGAGCAACCAGATGTTGACTCAGATTCGGATATCAAAAATACATCAAAGCTAAAACATTGAAAATAGGGAAACAGATATCAATATGTAAAAAATGACAACATTAAAACAAAAAAAGAGGGACTTAAAAAATGCAGACATTGATTTTTCATATGGAGGGGAAGTTAAGGCAATAAAAGTAATAAAAGACTGGTATAAACTTAGAAAAATAGGGGTAAATATTGAGGTAACCACAAAGGAATCTAACAGTCCTACAAATCAAAATTAAAAAGTAGAAAAACATAAAGACCCAGCAAACACGAAATCTACAGCAAAGATAGAAAAAAAATACATAAAGAAAAACAACTCAGCACAGAAAATTAAGGAGAACAAAGAAACTGTGAACAACACACAAAAAGAGGTATCAGAATGACAGCACTAAACTCATACCTATCAGTAATTACGCTGAATGTAAATGGACTTAATGCACCAATAAAGAGACGGAGAGTGGCAGACTGGATAAAAAAGCATGATCCATTTATATGCTGCCTACAAGAGATGCACCTTAGACTTAAAGACACAAACAGGCTAAAACTCGAAGGATGAAAAAAAAAAATCAAACAACACTCAAAAAAGAGCAGGAGTGGCAATATTAACCTCTGACAAAATACACTTTAAAGTAAAATCCACCACAAAGGATAAGGAAGGGCACTATATAATGATTAAAGGGTCAATACACCAGGAGGACATAACTATAATAAATATTTACGTACCAAACAACAGGATTCCAAAATACATAAAACAAACTCTAACAGCTCTGAAAAGAGAGATAGACAGCTCCACAATAGTAGCAGGGGACTTCAACACACCACTTTCGGTGAAGGACAGAACATTCAAAAAGAAGCTCAACAAAGACACAGAAGACCTAAAAGCTACAATCAACAAAC